TCCTACTTCCGTAGTGATACTGCCTCGGAAACCCAAGGAGGGGTCGCTATGAGTCGGGGCTGACTCGATGGCAAATAACAACAACTAACAATAGCTAATGATCGTGAGCATTTCTTCATATGTTTGTTGTCTTGCCATCTTTTATGTTTAAGTGTAAAAAACCAAATGAGTCAATTTAGATGTGTTCTATTTGAGGTATATCCAAATAGAGTAAGCTGTTTACTGGCTATATGAGCTTAAAGCTTGGATGAAAGGTGTAGGTTAAAGGGGAAGTATTAAGGTATAAATGGTAGCAAAAAGCATGGCCTAAATGCCCAAAGTTTATTCTATATGTGTAAAAGTATCAGTGACTCAGAGTGTTAGCATATGGCAGAAGAGAGGTCTAAGGACAGAATTCAAGGAAATATTCCACTTTCATGGGTGGCTGGAAGAGCAATCAGCTGAGGCTGAGGAGCAATGAGAGTAGAACGAGAACCAGATGATGGTGTTATGGGAGCCAAGGGGAAAATGTTAGAAGGAAGGATGATCTAGAATATCAGATGCTAGTGAGATTGCATAAGATAGAGACTGAGAAATAACTGCTATTTAATTTAGAAATTAAGATTTTGCAGTGAATTGCTTTAAGTTGAAATCAAATTTCAGTGAGTTGATGATGGAGTCAAATTATTGACTGAGGAGGAAGTTGTTAGCATGTACTGTTGAGTTGATTCCAACTCATAGTGACTCTATAAGGCAGAGCAGAACTGCCCTATGGGATTTCCTATGCTGTAAATATTTACCAGGAGCAGATGGCCGCATCTTTTCTTCTATGGAGCAGCTGGTGGGTTTGAACCACCAACATTTCAGTTAGCAGCCAAGCACTTAACCATTGGTTCAACAGGGCTTCTTTAAGTAGGAAGGGACACTGACATTTATTGAGTACCTACTGAGTTTCAGGCGCTGTACTAGAGATTCTACATACTGTTTTCTCAGGGACACGTAACAGATTTGATTGTTACACCTAATAGTTCTTTCAGTTAAAAAACTTATTTTTCTCTTTTGCCCAAAGTATTTCCAGTTTTGTGTACTTACAAGATATAAATACTTTATGGTTGAATAAGGAAAGGAAATCTCTTTCACTCCTTGTGGCAAAAGTCTTTTTCTTTATCCCATAGACGCATGAGAGGGAAGAATGATACATGGATTTTGCCTACATAGTGTCTTCCATCTTCTGAGCCCAAGCACAAGGAAGTGAGTGATGTTTTACTGCCTCCCTTTACTCCCAGGCCCGGTACGAAAGCCAGAGGATGCAGATGGAGTCCGAGCTGGCTGTGCAGCTGGAGCAGCAGGTGACAGAGCGGCTGGCGCAGGCACAGGAGAGCAGCCTCCGGCAGGCCGCCTCTCTGAGGGAACATCACAGGTACTTGGGCTCCTTGGACACTGCTCCTCCCCATCTTTAGCAAGTACTGCAAGTGCCCCACCCATGTCCCGTCACATGTCTTTGCCATTGTCAAGCACACTAGCTCCCATTTTACTCCCTCTCCCATAAGCCATCACCTAAGTCTCTTTGTGGGAGGGCTGCCTTCAGATGAGAAGGAACATAAATGTTCCTTGCTGGGGGCAATGCTGAGGGGTGACCTATACTGTCTCTAGAGCTCCCCTGTGGGACTGAGCCTCTTTCCCTTCCTGCTCTCACTTCTCATTCCTTCCTCTATAAGCTCTTTCTGGAAATCCTTCTTAAATAAAATACTTTCCCATAAATCCTCATCTTGGTCTCTGTTTTTCATCCCAAGACAAGCTTTGTCCTTTCCTCTTCCCTGAACCCACCTGTGCCGTGGCCACACTGGCTGACTGCGGCTGTCTGGCTTACTGTCACATGCAAACATGTCTTTTTCTCACTTGGTTACTTGTCTCCAGACTCAGTCCTCTTTTCTTCCCTCTTAGGAAGCAGCTGCACGAGTTAAGTGGACAGCACCAGCAGGAACTGGCCTCTCAGTTGACTCAGTTCAAGGTGGAAATGGCAGAACGAGAAGAGCGGCAGCAGCAGGTGGCTCAGGACTATGAGCTCAGGTCCTGATCCCTGGAGTCTCCCTTTTAGGCCTCAGTGCCTTTCCATGAGTAGAGCCAAAGCAGGGCACGAAGAGCTGCTCCTTTGGCAGACTGTCCTCTGCTCAATTAACTCCAGCTCCTTTCAGAGTTTCAGATACCTGACATTCTATGCTGGTTTTTCTTATTCCCCAAGTCCTTACTTCCTTAAAGCCCCAAATCATTTCTCCCCTCTTCAGACTAGCCCGGGAGCAAGCACGAGTGCGGGACCTGCAGAGTGGGAACCAACAGCTGGAGGAACAGCGGGTAGAGCTGATAGAACGACTCCAAGCCATGCTACAGGCCCACTGGGACGAGGCCAACCAACTGCTTAGCGCCACTCTTCCACCTCCAAACCCTCTGGTAGGCCTCGCCCCCTGACCTAAGTTTCTAAGAGTTGTTACGTTCTAGATTCTTTCCTTGGTAGGAGGGCACTGTTATTGGTGTCAGGAGAATCTTTTTTTTCTTTTTAATTTAATGTTATTTCCAGTCTTTTTCTTTGTTTCTTTCTTTTTTTTTTTCACTTCAAACTTTTTATTGTGCTTTGGGTGAAAGTTGACAGAGCAAATTGATTTTCTATTCAACAATTCATACATGTTTTGTTCTGTGACATTGATTGCAATCCCCACAATGTAGCAACACTCTTCCTGTTTCCTGCCTGTGTTTACCTTTCCATTCTTCTTTCCTATCCCTTCCTCCCTTCTGAGCTTTATCCCTGGGCACATGCTACCCTGTTGATATGGTATGGTTGATTGTTCTAAGGTATGTACCTCCTAGTGTTTGGGTGTCTTGTTGGTAGCCTTTTATACATTGCTGTGTAACCTTTTTATTTAACCCAGACCTTATGGTGGACATTTAAATTGTTACTGTATTTTGCTTCTATGAACAGTGCTGTGATAAATATTAATATATGTCTTTTGCAAATATATATGTAAAAATTTCTGGAAGTGAAATTGTAAGATCAAAAGTATCCATTACATTTTTTTATTGTGGAAAAATCTATCATAAAATTGTCCTTTAAGTGTACAATTCAGTAGTATTAATTTGTGCACAATGTTGCACAACTATCACCATTGTTTATTTCCAAAACTTTCATCACTCCAAATAGAAATTCATTATCCATTAAGCAATAACTCCCCATTCCTTCCTCCCTACCAGCCTCTGGTAACCACTAATCTACTTTCTGTCTTTATGTAATTGCATGTTCTAGATTTTTCATATGAATAGGCTCATGCAGTATTCGTCCACCTTAGTTCATTTAGCATGTTTTCAAGTTTCATCCATGTTGTAACATGTATCAGAACTTAATTTCTCTTTATCATATACCATATTTTGTTTATCCATTCATCTATTGATGGACACCTAGGTCTCCACCTTTGGCTGTTTTGAATAATGCTGCAGTGAACACTGGTGTACAAGTACCTGTTTATGTCACTGTTTTCAGTTCTGCTGGGTATATAACCAGGAATGGAATTTCTGGGTCATAGAGTAATTGAACTTTTTGAGGAACTGCTAAACTCTTTTTCATAGTGGCTGCACCATTTTACATTCCCATCAACAATGCATAAGGGTTCCAATTACTTGTCAACACTTACTGCTTTCTGTTTCTTTTTTTATAATAGTCATTCTAGTGGGCGTGAAGTGGTATCTCATGAATATATTGTCTTTTTTTTCAAATGTATATAAAAATATATAACAAAACATTTACCATTTCAACATTTTTTATGTTCATTATGGCTTTGATATGCATTTCCCTAACTACTAATACATTTTAAAGTAATATTGTTATTAAGGAGCCCTGGTAACTCAGTAGTTAAGCGCTTAGCTGTTAACTGAAAACTTAGTGGTTTGCACCTACCAGCTTCTCTGTGGGAGAAAGATGTAGCAGTCTGTTTCCATAGGAAATTCCTTGGGAATACTATGGGACAGTTCTACTCTGTCATATAGGGTCACTATGAGTTGGAATCAACTCAATGGAAACAGGTTTGTTTCTTTGGAAAAACTAATAACGGTGAGCATCTTTCTATGTACTTACTACCCATTTATATCTTCTTTGGAGAAATTTCTTTTCAAGTTCTATGATCAATTTTCAATCGAGTTGTTTGTTTTTTTGTTGTTGAGTTGTAGGAGTTCTTTATATATTCTAGATACTAGACCTATACCACATGTGATTTGCAAGTATTTTTTCTCCCATTCTCTAAGCTTTCTTTTTACTTTCTTGATAATGCCCTTTGATTCACAAAAGTTTTTAATTTTGATAAGGTCTAATTTTCTAGTTTTTCTGTTGTTGCTTGGGATGTTATATCTAAGAATGCATTGCCAAATACTGAAGATTTATCCCTATGCTTTTTTTTAAGAATTTTATGGTTTAAGTGTTTTTATTTAGATCATTGGTCCATTTTAAGTTAAGTTTTATATGTGGTGTGAGGTAGCTTCATTCTTCTGTCACTTGTCCCAGCATCAATGGTTGAAGAGAATATTCTTTCCCCCATTGAGTTGACTTGGCAACCTTGTTAAGAATCAGTTCACCATAGATATGTGAGTTTATTTCTGGACTCTCAATTAAATTTCGTTAGTCTATATGTCTATCTTTATACAAGTACCTCACTGTTTTCATTACCATAGCTTCTTTAGTACAATTTGAAATCAGGAAGTGTGATTTGGTCAGTTTTGTTCTTTGTTTTCAAGATTGCTTTGGCTATTTTGGGCCAAAATGTGAATTTAAGATCACGTTTTCCATTTCTGCAAAAAAGACAATACCAATTTCAATAGGGATTGTGTGGAATCTATAGATTGCTTAGGGTAGTATTGAAATCTAAATAATATCAAGTCTTCTAATCCATTAACATGGAATGTTTTTCCATTTATTAAGCACTCCTTTAATTTCTTTTGGCATTATTTTATAGTTTTCAGTATATAAATCTTTCAGTTTCTTTGTTAAATGTATGCCTGAGTATTTTGTACTTTTAAATATTTGTGTAAATGGAATTTTATTTTCTTAATTTCCTTTTCAGATTGTTTATTTCTGGTGTATAGAAACACAACTGATTTTTATGTGTTATATTGTATCCCACAACTTTGCTGAATTTGTTTATTAGCTCTAATGTATGTGTGTCTGTGTGTATTTTAGGATTTTCTATATACGTATGGCCATGTCATTTGCCAATAGAAATAATTTTACTTCCTTTTTTTTCAATTTGGATGCCTTTTGTTTTCTTGCCTAATTGCTCTAGCTAGAACTTCTAGGTACAAAGTTGAATAGCAGTGGAGAAGGAGCCATCCTGGTCTTGTTCCTGATCTTAAAGGGGAAAGCTTTCAGTCTTTAACCATTGAGTGTGGTGTTAATTGTGGATTTTTTGTAAATGCCCTTTATTTATTTATTTTAAATTTTTATTGTGCTTTGGGTGAAAGTTTACAGAGCAAATTCATTTTCCATACAGCAGCAGTTCATACACATTTTGTCTTATGACATTGACTGCAGTTCCCCACAATGTAACATCTCTCTCCCCACTTCCTCCCCATAGTTACCTCTTCCCTGTGCCCTTCCCTTCCATGCACATCCACTCACCGAGCTGTCTCCCTGTGCAAGCATTGCCCTTCTGTTCCCCCATGATTGATCGTTCTAAGAGTGTATATACCAAAAAAAACCAAAGCCACTGCCATGGAGTCAGATCCGACTCATAGCAGCCCCTCCTTGAGTTTCCAAGGCAGTATCACTACAGAAGTAGATTGCCCAACCTTCCTTCTGAGGAGTGGCTGGTGAATTTGAACCACCAGCCTTCTGGTTAGCAGTCTAATGCCTTAGGCACTACACCACCAGAGCTCCTAGGAGTATATATACCTGATGTAAATGTTCACCCCGTATGCTTGTCTATTGTTTGGCTAGAAGCCACAGGAGTGAGTTTAATTCCAGACCTGAAGGGTGGCTAGGGGCCATAGTCTCAGGGGTCTCACCAGGCTCTATCAGATTGGCAAACCTGGCCTTTTTTTTTTTTTTTTTTTATGATTTTGAGTTATTTTCCCACTCTATCCAAGATCAT